TTTAGCAGGAAGACAAAGATTTTCACAAGTACACACTGTTTCCAGCCTGTGATGCTTCTCATAACCTTGACTACTGATCTCTGTGCCTTTCTCTACATAGACGGGTGCTTGCCAGAAGCATGAATGTGCCCGAAGCCAAAGTGCATGTCAGTAAATCTGAGAAAGCATGGGGCGGGGCAGGCCATCTGGAGCACTTCAGGTCTTGGACCAGTTGTCCTGAGTCTTTTTCAGTAGGTGTATGATTCCTGTTTTCCTATGATGGCAGTCACTGGCTTCTTCATTGGAAGGTGGAAGAACTATACTTCAGCTAGTGCTTCTTGCCTATTCCTGGAAGGAAAGTGACTTCCTGGTGGAAACAGAAACCCAAAGCAGCCACTTGCTGCCCATGTTCTGTGTGCAAAGCCAAGGTCTTTACACAGCAAGGGCTCTATAATTATATACATGTAGAACACATACCTGTGAGTGCATGGTTATTTACCCAGTACTCATGTTTAATTCCTTCACCACCATTGTCCTTTGCAGGAAACTAATGTGTAGTCATTCGGGGCTGAGGATGCTGCTGTAGAGACTCATGTTGATGCAGGATCAAACAGGGCTATCAAAGGATTCAGTTGCATTAAATTACTCAAAATTAGTTGTGCACACTTAGCTAAAGGATAATCTAGTAGCTATCGGGGCAAGTTACCAATCTGCCCATGGAATCCACATGGACCAACTCATGAATAGTATGATGAGACTGATGTGGGAAGAGAGCTTCATAGTCCAAGTTGTTGCTCCTCCTCCTCTATGAATTTGCATAAGATAGCAGCACTAAATTTTAATCTGGGGGATTGTTTTCAATTCAGATGTTGCCTCCACTCTAACACAATTTCCAAACTGTCCCAAGGGCGGAGGAAGCTGGGCGTGGGGGGGATTAATGCTCTTGAAACATTGTCTAAGGGATGAAACAGTCAAAACCAGTTAATTCATTAGAGATGACCCAACATCTGTGAATAAGACACCCATAAAAGTGCACCTTGGAAATCACATTAAATGTGCACTTGTCTTGCACCGTGTCTCTTCCAGAACTTAGCACAGGGCTGTTGCTCTCCCTGTGTGATCTGAAGGAGCAGGCATACTATGACTTTTCAGAAATAGTGATTGCTGGTACTGTTTTCAGATTTCTGTGAAGAAGGCAGGGTTAACTGGAGTCTAGCCATGGCCTCCAACACTGAACACACCCTGCCCGCTTCTGCCCTGGGTGGCTGAGCATTTGGAAAACAGCTGCTGAAGGGCAGTTCAGAATGCCAGTGTCCCGATGATGTGCCTCTTTGCATCAAAGTGCCCAGCATGCTGAGACATTTCCTGTTCTCCT